TTAACCCTCGGGCGACTTACAATCCCTCGGGCCGGAGGCCCTCGGGCTCTGTCGCCCTCGGCATAAATATTGCCTTAATGCCCTTGATGCATAAATAACTATTTAATTAAATAAGAAACATAAAATCGTTAACACTGATTTAATAAAATTTACCCTATGTTCACTTTATTTTACTGAATACAAGAATTCATTTAATTACCGCGTACCTAATTATCCATGTTTCGTGAATTTGAATACTTTCCCAATATCACGTGACCAATTCAAACGATTCAAACTTAAGTCATAGTCTCCCATTTGCTTTCAATAACGAGCATCTGTGCCAATACATTTAATACCGAGATGTACTTTGCACTGTAAGTACAACACTGCTTATCTGCAATAAGTAGCATTTTAAATGTGTAAATGTGTCCAGCGAGGTGTCCAGTGTGACACGTTGAGATAAAAGGCCTAAACTCCGTACAATCTGCGCATGCGAAAGAAACGTCTAAGCTGTAATGTTATTAATTAATATGTAGGTTATTTTATTTTTTATTTAATTATTGTTTTCATCACAGGCTGTTATAATGAATAAACATATTCGTAAATCGTAATGTACATTTAAACTCACAGACTTTTGACGTTGTTATACCAAGAGCCATGTTTCGCTGCGGCAGTATAAAATCCGAAAAGGACAGTATAAGGCCCCATGTTCACAAATCGTAACCCAAGACATTTCAAACACCTACGAATCGCTCATAAACCGGACGGCTACTACGGTGATAAAACTGGAACGCTCCTACTGGCATATAAATTTGCTTTCCTACCGCCTCCAATAAGACAGCCCGATTGTAGATGACAACCGACACAAACAGGCCGTCACGTAACTTCATAGTTCGTGCATTACATCAACGGACCCGACACTCACCGAGAGCACGAAGGAATGGACCATCAAAACCAGACTGTATAAGACCATGCACCAAGTCGTTAGAGTACACATAAACTCCGCTTGCAAGGCATCTTTGTACGAAGAACTGAAACCTAAAAGTAGCAAACATTAAATTGAATGCAGGGAGGTGCGCCTGTAACGTTCACGTATTCCAACGACTTGGTGCATGGTCTTATACAGTCTGGTTTTGATGGCCATTCCTTCTTGCTCGTGGTGAGTGTCGGTCCGTTGATGTGGTGCACTAACAATGCAGTTACTTGAGTCTTGACGGCCTGTTTATGTCGGTTGTTCTACAACATTGCAACTTTAACGTTTTGAGTTTAGGCCTTTTATCTCAACGTCAGTGTGACTGCAATGAATGAATAAATCTATTTATAAAACACATTTTTTAACATACAAGATCATCAAGGATTTAAAGTCTGCCCATTGCGGTTTCGTCACCAAGCATAAATCCAGTCTTAAAACCATCTAACATTTGACAAGACATGGATCCTGCCAAGGATTTAAAATGTAACCGGTGTGATTTTGTCCCTGAAAACACACATTCAATTTTAAAACACATTTGTTAATACACAAGACCAGTAATAATTTCCAATGCGCCTGGTATTAATTACAACCCCTTAAATCCCGTTACTTTCTAAGGAAATAATGTTAATATGCCACGCGCCAGTAAAATTTCGGGAATGTCAACTCAGTTCGTATAAGATCTTGCATCTCTGTTGCACCGTGACTCCCTTCGGTGCTAAGAGTAAAAAATAAAAGGAGAGAACCTTGCATTAAAAGGGGACTTGACGGAAATGGACAAAAAGGAAGTGATAAAAGTGCGAGAAGAGTGGGGAGAAACGCGTCATTATTGGCAGTGGTGTAATAAAACAAAACTGACTTCATCTCTTCTGTTTTATGATAAGTCAAGTCGACATAACTGACCAGCGCAAAGGAAGTGATATTTTGACGACTTTCGTCGCGTGTTATGCTATTTCCCACCATCGTTATATTCTCTCCTGTTATTTTTTACTCGTAGCTTCGGTGGCTCCGCACTGTCCAACCGCAAGCGCGCTAGAATTTGAGTTTGCGTTGAACCGAACTGTATTATAAGGAAAAGGGGTAAATCTACGAGTAAAAAAATGTACTCGTGGGGGTACATAATAAAGATAACCTCTGCCAGCCTCCGAAGACTTGTGAATATTTTTAGTGTGCCCACTTAGATTGCACCGTCTCGTAAAATTTTTTTCGCGTAGTCAGCAGGAAACGTGGAAAGTACTATTTAAGTGTACCTATAATATCTTCTTATACCGGGTGAATATTTCGAAACCGAACATAGGCAATTAACATGGGAAAAACGTTTTACAGATTGTTCCTCCCCATGTTAATTTAGAGGGTTTATAATACCAATCGAAAGAAGATTTTTTTTCTCATCTAATGGTATTAGTTTATTTTCAGGTGTATTTCTCATTATTTTATCAAAAATTCGACATTACCGTAACATAATTTGCGGTTCTTCTTTTCTTATCCGAATAATAAATATTTTGTTATAAGCTGTCCCCGGTTCCTCAGTAGACCAAAGTCTTGCATATCCAAACGAAGGAGGCATCATTTCGAATTCCCCTTTTTTACGCAATTTAATATTTACTGCTCACGGTGTACACGCTTACAAGTTACAGGTTCTTTTTCTTTAACTTATTTAATTCAAAACATTAAATTCGTCGATTTAAAAACGAATTTGCAAATTAGGTTTCACATTAATTTGCAAAACCAATCCAAATTTTGCCGATGCGCATCCTTAAATTTTGTCGCTTTCATGTTTAGTTACTATGTACGCTGCCTCCCGTCTATATTGACTCCATAATAAAATCAGAATACGACTGGAAGGTAGGCAATAAGCATACGAGGTGAGATTTGGTACACGCGCTTCCTATATAAAACAGCAGAGTGCCGCCACCGTTATATCTACCTTGGGCTTGCCTCTATACCATCAATTTGAATGCGGGTTTAAGCATCATAAACCGATACGTCTCTTATTCTGACCACAGCTGCCGGATCATACTCATACACTAACTAATCATAACAGACTTTCGTCTTGTGCGGCTGAGAGACATTCATTTTGCTCTCGGAATGTTGTAGGGTACCATTCTTGAACGTGTGACTTCCGTGTGAGTGAGTGGGTATGACGTTATGTCGAGCGATTTTCATAATTTCGTATATTGTTGACACTTTACGCCAATTTTTCCAATCTCCAGTGCTATTTAAAGTAGCCGTACCTACCTTCCACTTCTCCTGTATATTTTTATTCGTAAAATTAGTGGATGTCTTCCCTGTCACAAAGTTTTTTTTTTTTTAATGCAGATAGTAGCATGAGTTTTTGCCCTTCTGAAGCGCAAGACATAATTTACTTTTAAATTTGAATTGATTGCAGTAAATGGCAAACGCAAGCGCATTGGATAACACTATGACAAATCCAAACGGGCGGTTTTAATTTAGTGTCAAAAATACGAAATTTGGTGAGGGAGTGAGTCACCGATGAGAAAGTTACACACTCACCGATTTTTTTCGAACGGTTCAAGCAATGGGGGTTTTAAAGAGCGCGTTCGGCTGAAGTCAAGCGATGTACTCGGTCTACCTATTACTTACGGTACACGTCCCCAAAAAAATGTTGTTATGAAGGAAACATAATTAGAAATACGGTATGAGTGGTATTTTGTACCTCAGCACAATGCAAACGTCATACATGATTTTTAAAAAGGTATATACAGTAGTCAACTTGACTAGTCTCCCTACTTTTCGACCCTGTTTCAAACCTTTGCACACTAAACTGTTGACGACACCGCGACTAAATATTCACAGTGTAAGCGGTAAATCCTAAACGAATATATTTATTTTTAATCAAAACGTATGCGAGACGTATGTAAAAGCCGGGAAACTAAACAATTTGGCGTTTTACGTGAAGTCGGTGTAGTGGATTTGGTTTTTCGATGTTGGCGCCAGAGATCCCCAGCAGCTATCTTGATCTCGATCCGATCAGTGTGTCAGCAAGACGTGTGCACTGTGCAGGCCTTTATAAATATCGCTGGTTTTGGTGTTCTTTCTGAAAGACACCATGCCTTTTGTGAAGAAAAGTGCTCAGCAGAAGAAGGCAAAGATTGCCCTAGCTCAGTTATATACTAGACTAGTGGAAAAGTCGTCAGATTTAAACGCGTGTTGCATAGCACACCGCCGCGCCAGAGCAGACGCCGCTCCGGCTGTAAATATCTTCCTTATTTCATCATGAACATGTACTTTTCCGTGCATATTTAGAATCGTCACAAAATTTCGCTTCTAATGAGACCCATCTCATTTAAGTCTTGATACAAAAACCTTCGCTAGCTCAAAAAAACTGAGTGTGTCCATAAGAGCCCTGTTTTTACTGTCAAATATCTCAGAAACGGTACATAGGAACACTTTTTTCTTTTGACCATTAGAAAGTGCGTCTCTCAGAGAATAAGTGACCAAATTTTCACCAACTTCTTGTTACTTTTACCTAGGCGCTCTTAACTACTTTAATAAATCTATAAAGCGAACAAACCGAGTCGATGCGTGTATTACAAAATATATTTAGACGGTACTAACTTGTAAGGAGAAATCATTCATCGGTATTTTAGCATGCAGAAAATTAAGCAAAATCCCTCTTTTATAACATTAAATTATTTTTTCATTACAGTGCGCCTTTTTCAGCATAATTTGTGATAATCGTAAATAATCTTCCAGTCCTCTTTCAAATTACCTAATATTTACAAATCCACAGGATATTTCCGTAAATTAGTTTTTCTTAACAAGAAAATTTGTATAAAGGTAGGCTTTCACAGAATAACACTTTCAGAAGCGTGCTCACTATATCTAAATAATTAGGTCGGGTGATATATTTGTGCACAAAGCTGCTCGTTACACTTATAATTACAGTAAGAATTTACTAGCATTTAAATATAAAATTAAATGTTCTTTCTAAAAACCTTTCTATCTCTATAAATGTATAATGTTTAATAAACTTTTAATTAAGAAATATTGTCGTATATTTATAATAATGCAATATATTCTGTAACAGGGTCGTCTCCTGGGAAAAGTGGACGCATACTTTAATTCATTCAGACGCTGCAACTACCCTCGTGTCAGTCCTGAGGGAATTGTGGAGATAGTAGAAGAATGTGGCCGCTACACAAGGTAAAAATTCTTCACGGCGTAGTCTAATACGTGAGAGTGGGTAGGCGGATGCGCGAGGGAATGCATTTTGTGTGAATTACTGCTCTTTTATTTTCTCTATATTACATTCTGTGGATGGAATTTTTACTTTATCTACAATTGCTAAGACACATTAGTGAATTTTTTAGATACAGAAACCGTGAGCGAGACGCATTTATTTACGTACAGTGGACTAATAGACGAAGAGCTGGCTACGAAAAAAGTGATTTATCGCTACATGGTTGATTTTTGGTGTAAAAAAATATGCTGATACATAGTGAAGTAGAAAAAGTCTTGTCTGTCAGCGAGATCCCGGGGATTAAGGTTGGGAGGTGTGGTCAAATATGTCAAATTTTAATAAAACTGCCGAGTTTCCGACTATACAGTGTGTCCCAGACCGGGTGGGATTGCATGGGTAACTCTCTTATTATTAAAGATAGAGAATTGGTTAAATGGACAATGTTTCGCAGTTTTAGATGCTTATTTAAAATTTTCTTGTGGAAATTCTAACTGTCGAATAGGTTCGACGTAAATTCAAAAAAACTAAAATTTCCTTTAAGGGGGGATTCCAGTTGTACATTAATGCCTAAAAATATGCTATTTGAAATGTCGTTTTACGCGTTTAAAATCTGAGTTGAAGAAAGGGTCTCTATCTGTACGTCTACAGTAACTATTCAAGAAGCCGGCTATAAGCCCATAATTTCGTATTTTTGAAAAACAATTTTTTTACAGGGCACGACCCGGACTGATTACATGCGTCTCACGCGATATTTAACAAAAAACCTCTTATAGCCGGGATGAGTAGGTTGTAAGGAAGATTTTAAGCTTTTGACCGGGTTTTCAAATTCGTTCTACGCCGTTTAAAACGAAATTTTGTAAAACGCTCAATTACGAAAGTGTAGAAAAACGGCATGCAAACGTTAGGCAACACATCATGCTAGATACGGTCGGCAAATCGCCTTTAATTGCTTCTGTTCTATTGGTTGCATTATTAGCTAATTGTGTTCACTTTGTAAAATCGGCGTGTTTACTACAACAAGGCTTAATCATCATTTTCCATTGTTTATACTACTGCGGCTATAAATAGTAGAATGTGTATAGTAAAAGCAATACATTCCCGGACTACAATAGCCGAAGCCAACTAGAATTAGAGTTCGGGAATTTGCTTTCACTACGAGGTACACATACTATTTTTTTCTGAAATCGCAGTCAACATCGTCATAAATTAAGGAATTGATAAATGCCATAAATGTGCATAACAGTTTATTATTATTAATAATTAAACTTCATCTTTTCAGTCAAGTACAGTAGGATACCGTAAGAAAAACAATTTGGGATATTTTGATACCTTAAAACTTGACTGCGTCCACTAAGAAAGCGCCTAAATTCATAATTTTCAAAATATGAAACAGATATTGATGATCTATGTTACAGTCATACATTGTCCTATTGGGGATTGAGTAGCTTTGATCTGCATGTACAAGTTTATTAATAACTGTAGATAATCTTTTTGAAATTGCCTTTGCGATTATCTTATAGTCTGTTGATAAGATGGATATTGGACGCCAATTGTTTAACTCCAATAGATCACCTTTTTTTGGTAATAGAGTTACAACAGCTTTCGTTGTTGAGCTAGGCAGTTTCTTACTGATGAGGGCTGCTTTAATCATTATATGGTACGCGTTTTTTAATACCTCCCAAAAATAAATGTAAAACGCTGGAGTTAACCCGTCCAGTCCAGGAGCGCTGTTTTTGTTTAACGACGAGAGGGCGCTCTGTAACTCTTCCAAAGTAAAACCATGTTGAACGCTGTCTCTATCCGCATTACTAAGCGTGGTGAGATTTTCATAAAGTCAACTTGACCTGTTCACTCTGATGCCTTTACTCGCATGTACTTTGGTGTAGTATGATACTACAATTGAGCATAGCGTTTGTGGGTCTTGAGCAATTGTGTTGTTATGCCTCAGCCTGGTCTACAGTTGGTTGGTCGGACATGATTAAGCTGTTAAATTTTGAAGCTGCCAGTTGTTTTTCAGCTGCCCTGAAGTAAGCGGCCTGAGAGTGCTTAATAACGGTAGCTAGTTGTTCGTTTCGTGTTACGGGATTAAGATGTTCGTCGAAAAGTGTGGCTTGTAACATTCTTTGTAACGACTGGAGCTCGGAGTGAGCTTTTTGCTTGTTTTGTCTCATATATAATATAGTTACTTCCTTGATTTTCAGTTTTAACCGCTCCCACCACATCAGGATGTTCGAGTTGTTTACGTGCTTGACTTCAATAGCGAGAAACGTTTTCATCAAGTCAGTGAAGTTACTGTCTTGTAACAATAAGTCATTAAATTTCCAGTAAGGAGGCGGAGAGTAGCCTGCTTCTGTTCTAAATGCAGCAGATAATGAGAAATGGTCCGAAAAGCTGGTGTGCAACGTAGTAGCGATCAAAGGTCTAATTAGATGGGTTGAGACGTATAGTCTGTCTAAACGAGCTGCGGTTTGATGTCCCTTCGTACAGAAGGTAAATCCACCCTTATTGGGGTTAAAAATGTTCCAGCAATCGTGCATTCCCGCCCTTCCCAGAATGTTTTCTAATAATGGCGCAACATCTGGATATCGGTCATAGGAGCCATCGCGATCTCTTGTTGGATCTAGCGTGCAATTGAAATCCCCACCTAAAATTACGTGAGAGCCATTTTCGAGGGTCCTAAGAAAGTTGTTAAGGAAGTGAATGTATAGTTTTGTGTTTTCTTGCGCATGGAGAGAGGGAGGACGAGCACGCAGTTGCAATAAAGCATGTTAGCAGGAAGGTTGTTTTTATATCTTCGAGAAGCCATTCGTTTTTACCGAAAGTAACAAGTAATACAGTCCACTCTATTTAAGGGCAAAACATTGGTCCTTCGAGCCGGATATAACAGAAGAAAAATCAAATGTGTTATCAATTTTAGCTGTTGACGTGATATTCGCATGCGGCTTCCCCTCAGTGTTCCAAGTAAAAGATGGAATGGTAACGTCCCATCCGTTGATAATGAGCTGCACTGTTTGGCGCAAAAACTAAGGAATGCAGGTAGATGACATCAGCTCTATTCATGAGAAATCGCATACGCACATATCGTAAAACTATCTGGGTGAGTTCCCAATATTCCTTATTCCTAGCTCAAATCTCAATTTGTCAATAAATTTAATCAAATCATTTTGATCAACCAATAATAATATTGACAAGCAACTAGTAAGAGCGCATACAGGATTTTTTTAATTAGGGACCATTGATTTTTTAATGCGTGTAGCGTGTAGGTACAACAAAACAACAAAGCGAGGGTCATTGACCAGTTAAATTAAAAAGCAAAATATAATAATTAATTAGGTGTTATTATCTACCTAATTAAGGTGTTAAAAGAAGGGCATTATTCATTGTTGTCATAAATATTTTAATATTTCATATTTGTACTGGGTATTCATAATCAATCAAAACAAATTGCAAATAAAAAAAAAAATGGATGTGTCTAAAAAACAACGCGCTATTATAAAAGGCAAATTGACCGTGTTTACGAACTTTATAAACGAAATTGATGCAAAGGTAAAAGCAGGTGAAATTATTGATGATGTTAGCGCAGCTAATATTCAACGGCGTTTACCGCTGATTGAACCGCTGCTAGATCAATTTGAAATGAATCTTGGCAACATTTATTCCGAAGCAAATGAAGCCGAGGCGGAATTGAAGGAATTGGAAGACTTCCAGCAAAAATTCTTTGAGGCCACGGCTAAGGCCGATTGTTTATTAAGTAAAATTATAGATACTGACAGAGGGCTCTCCTCTCGCGGTTCACCGGCAAATTCCGTCGCGAATTCTATTGCGTCTAGTGCTCGTTCCGTTAAAAATTCTATTAAATTACCGACAATTAAACTGCCGAAATTTGACGGGAAAAGCGAAAATTGGCTTGAATTTCGGGATCTCTATGTAAGTTTAATAGAGGAAAATGCGAATTTAGACGAGGCACAAAAATTTCATTACCTGAAGGCAAGTTTAGAAGGCGACGCGGCAAGGGTAATAGAATCTATTAAATTTAGTACAACAAACTATACTCTCGCGTGGACCAGACTGCAAGAACGGTATAACAGTGAAAAGGTGTTGATTCACAATCATGTGAAATCTTTGTTTAATTTAGAGTCCATCCAAAAGGAATCCTCTATGAAAATAAGAAATTTATTAGATTCAGTGTCAAAACATTTGGCCAACATAAAGAGTTTAACTTCTTCCGAAACTTTGGGAGAGACTTTAATCATATATTTAGTCACCTCAAAATTAGATTCTATGACCATGCGCGAATGGGAAAAACATACAAAAAAAATCGATATGCCTAGTTTTAACCACCTCTACGAATTTTTGAAAGAAAAATCAGATTTATTAGAAACCGTAGAGGCCAAGCAAAAACACAAAAATCAAGAAACGGTAAAATCCAGATCACTAGTAACCAAGCAGGAGTCCTGCGTGGTATGCAAAAATTCTCATGCGATTTGGTCATGTGACAGCTTTCTGAAACTCTCTGTAAAGGATAGGCAGGAAAAGGTTAAATCTCTTAGAATATGTATCCTCTGTTTAAAAAAGGGTCACTTTATCAGTAGCTGCCAATCAAAATATCTGTGCAATAAATGCCACAAACGGCATAATACACTTTTGCATGAAGAGGTCAAAATCGCTCCTGAAGATGAGAACTCACAACTAGTCGCGGCGTTCTCTGCCAACACAGCGCAAGTGTTGTTGCCAACAGCATCCGTGAAGGTGTTTGGTTCTTGTGGTAAAGTGCGCACAGCTAAAGTCTTATTAGACTCTGGTTCTCAATCATGTTTTATAACCTCAGATTTGTGCAAGAAATTAAAGATTCAAACAAGCAAAATTGACATGACTATAATCGGGATAAGCGAGTCAGAATCGCCCGTTCAAATGAAATGTGATGTACAAATTCAATCGCACTATAATAGCTCTGAGCTAAAGTTATCATGCCTTGTTATTGATAAAATAACAAGCTCCTTACCAAGCCATAACATTAATTTATCAAATATAAACATTCCTCAAAACCTTAAGCTGGCTGACCCGGCATTCCACAAGCCAGGAAATATTGAAATACTTATTGGCGCTAGTCATTTTTGGAATCTGCTCTGTATAGGTCAAATAAATTTGGGACATAATCTGCCCACGCTTCAAAAGAGTAAATTTGGTTGGTTGGTGTCAGGGCCCATTTCAACTAGTTTTGCTAAGCAATCGCGCTGCAATTTCAGTAAAATTAATGACGTGCAAAATCAATTAAGTAGGTTTTGGGAAATCGAAAAGGTGTCAGAAACGCGCACATTGTCATTAGAAGAAAAGGCTTGCGAAGCGCATTATAAACAAACCACGAGAAGAGAATATGATGGCCGTTTTGTGGTATCCATTCCTTTAAAGGAAACCGCGGATAAATTAGGTGACTCTTTTGAACAAGCAAAAAAGAGGTTTCTTGCATTAGAGCGAAAACTACAAAATAACCAAATTTTAAAGGATCGTTACCATAATTTTATGTCTGAATATGAAAAACTAGGTCATATGTCAATTGCTCAACCCAAACCAAACGAGGCTTCTTTCTATCTTCCGCATCACGGAGTTTTGAAAGAGGAAAGTGTATCCACAAAACTGAGAGTCGTATTTGACGGCTCAGCAAGCAGTACATCTGGTTTTTCGTTAAATGACTTGCAAATGGTGGGACCTACAATACAACCAGATTTAATATCAATTTTGCTATGGTTTAGAAAGGGACAGTATGCAATTTCTGCGGACATCGAAAAAATGTACCGCCAAGTGCTAATTAACCCTGAGCAACGGCAGTTGCAAATGATATTATGGAGACCAGACCCCACCGAATCAATAAAACAATACAATCTAAACACAGTGACGTATGGCACGTCGTCTGCGTCTTTCTTAGCCATTAGAAGTTTAATTCAAATAGGTATGGAGAACGAAATTTCGAACCCAGACATTGCCAAGATTATAAAAAATGATTTTTACGTCGATGACTTGTTGACCAGTACAGATGATTTAGAAAAGGCTAAATATCTTTGTAATACTCTTCCCAAAATTCTAGCCACCGGTTGTTTCGCTTTGCGGAAGTGGATTTCAAACGAACCCGAAGTTCTAAGTGGCATAAAGCTAAGTGATAAACACCCGAATGTTCTCAATGTTGGTTCAAATGAAAACATCAAGACTCTTGGTCTGATGTGGTCGGGTAAAACAGATAGTTTAACGTTCAAAATATCGCATTCTCAACAACGTAAGGTCACAAAGAGAATAATTCTCTCTGAAACAGCTCAAATTTTTGACCCTTTGGGACTTTTAGGTGCCTGTACTATTTCGGCAAAGATCGTACTTCAAGATCTTTGGCGCGAAAAATTAGACTGGGACGAATCCGTTTCTAATGCTTTGTTTGAAAGGTGGTCTCGATTTAGGGAACAATTGCCTATATTAAATAACTTAAGGGTACCAAGACATGCCATTTGTAAAAATCCAAAAAGAATAGAAATGCACGGTTTCTGCGATGCCTCCACAAATGCTTATGGAGCATGTATTTACATACGTTCTATAGATCATAACGATGAAATCACGACTAGGTTATTGTGCGCAAAGGGTAAGGTTGCTCCAATCAAACCGTTGACCGTGCCAAGACTCGAGCTGTGTGGAGCTGTCATGTTGACAATTTTGGGAAAAGTTGTTTATGAAAACTTAGATATAACGTTTGACTCTTGTACTTACTGGTCTGACTCAACGATTGTATTGGGTTGGTTAAAGACCTCACCAAGTTTGTTAAAAACATTTGTTTGTAATCGAGTCGCCGAAATTCAGGAGATTGCTCCAAATATTAAATGGAAGCACATTTCAACGAAAACAAATCCAGCAGATTTGTTATCCCGCGGGGTGACACCAAATGAATTGCTGGAATCAAACCTATGGTGGCATGGTCCATCGTGGCTATCTGAAGATTCAACTGTTTGGCCTATTTCTAATGAGAGTACTCCCAGTTTACCAGAATTTAAAGTAGTGACAAAAACACATATTTCAACCTGTTCGTCGTCATTTGATTTTGACAAGTACTCCGATCTTAGTAAGATGGAGCGGATTGTGGCATACTGCCTCAGATTTAAAAATAATAGCCTTAAACCAAGGGAGGAAGGTCTCACTGGACCGTTGCGTGCTGCTGAAATTAAGGCGCATTCTTTTGTTTAATAAAAATTGCCCAAAATGTGTCATTCAGTAATGAAATCAAGCAGCTCAAACAAAGCAAACCAATAAAATCAACTATAATAGTCACATTCAAAGTTTGACCCCATTCTTGGACTCTAAGGGTCTAATACGTGTTGGAGGCCGTCTAAGTAATTCAAAATATAGGTTTGACAAATGTCATCCTGTATTAATTTGTGGAAAACATAGACTAGCTAAATTAATATTCGCACGTGAACATATACGTTTAGTGCATGCTAGACCTCAGCAAATGTTAGCCGCAATTCGCGAACGTGTTTGGGTCACTGCCGGAAGAAATATTGCCAAGCAAATAGTGCATCAATGTGTAAAATGCTTTCGCGCAGCACCAAAAGAAATAAATCCTATAATGGCCAATTTGCCTCTCGCAAGGGTACAGCCCTCATTTCCTTTTCAAACCACGGGTGTTGATTATGCTGGCCCACTACATATACGTGATCGTAAAGGCCGTGGTTTTAAGACCTCAAAGGCTTATATTTGTATTTTTATTTGTTTCGTCACGAAAGCTGTGCACATCGAACATCGAACTAGTAACTAGCTTGTGTACTGAAGCCTTTATTTTAGCACTCAGACGTTTTATTGCACGTAGGGGAAAACCCAATAATATATACTCCGACAATGGAACTTGCTTTGTTGGTGCGAAGTCAGAACTAAAGGAATTGCAAAATTTTCTCAGCGCTAGTAAAAATATTACATCTGACAAAATGAGCAATAAGGAAATTAATTGGCATTTCATACCCCCACGGTCACCCCATTTTGGCGGGTTGTGGGAGGCTAGTGTGCGCTCTTGCAAGCATCACTTAAAACGTGTAGCGGGGAATGATTCATTGACGTATGAAGAAATGTATAGTTTATTGGTTCAAATTGAGGCAATCATGAATTCTCGACCCATGTCGCCCATGCCATCTGACCCTAATGATCTTAACCCCCTTACCCCCGCTCACTTTATGATAGGAAGATCCATGGTGGCTGCTCCGGATCCAGACGTTTTGGGCATTCCAGAGGGTAGACTATCTCTTTTCCAACGGATACAACAATTAAATCAGCATTTTTGGAAGCGATGGAGTAGGGAGTACATAACTGAACTTCAGCAACGCACAAAATGGAGAGCACAAGGCAGAAATTTGGAAAAAGGTGCAATGGTGTTGGTCAAGGAGGACAATCTCCCGACGTCATTGTGGAGGATCGGCCGAGTAGTTGAAGTATATCCAGGACCTGACGGAATAAATCGAGTTGCCGTTATTAAAACAATCAACGGGAACATCAAGAGAGGATTCGCAAAAATTTGCCCGCTTCCCTATGTGACAACATAACCACTTCAACCGATAGTGAAGTGATTTAAAGTTTTAGTGTTTAGCAGAGGTCACAGTGATCGTTCTTTTGTTAACAAACAATTGGGTTTTATGTTTCCAGGCCACAGGCTGTTTATAATTAGGACAAATATTTCGTTTTGTTTGCATATTATTAGAGTTAATTTTGATCAATTATATTTAACTTGTTTGTTTTTGAAAACCGCACTGTTTTCAAGGTGGGCGGTATATGTTAAGGAAGTGAATGTATAGTTTTGTGTTTTCTTGCGCATGGAGAGAGGGAGGACGAGCACGCAGTTGCAATAAAGCATGTTAGCAGGAAGGTTGTTTTTATATCTTCGAGAAGCCATTCGTTTTTACCGAAAGTAACAAGTAATACAGTCCACTCTATTTAACGGCAAAACAAAAGTTGTCCAATCTTAATAGTATTTCTTTAGTAGTAACTCTGTCATGAGGTAAATATATAGTAATTAAATGCCATTTTACATCCTTGAGCGTTATATCTAGTCGTTGTAAATACGATGGATACAAAATCTCATGATAAGTTAATTTTAAGTGTGCACTTTTTCTTACGGCAAGTAGTGTTCCACTATAGTCCAAGATGCATGGATTTACTAGGAGGTCGTAGGAATCGCAAAAGTGAAATGATGCCTTTTGAAGAATGTTTGTTTCTTGAACCATTAGAATGTCCTTAATTCGTTCCATTAAAATTCAGAACGTAAGCTTTTCGCATTAAGTGTAAAAATCCTTAGAGTAGCAGATAAAGAGGACGGATTGTTAGTACAGTGTTTGTTATAGTTGTTATACATGTTGTGGTTATTATTTATTAATAAGTGCTTTGAATGCTGTCCACCGATGACGTGCGTTCTAGAGAAGAAAATTCCTGTAAGGATTTAGAGGAAGAGCAAGTAATTCCTTCTTTCGCGAGGTCTCGTTTTAAATAATTCATTAATCGCTTACATCTTTCTTTTATAGCTCTTTGGGAGAAGAGGGGTATTACATCTCTTATTAAAACGATCAAGTCGTTTTGATCTGTGTATTTTCTTGCTATCTCGAGCAGTTTATTGTGACCTTTAACACTATTTAGGAAATCCGTAAAGGTAGTAAAATCTAATATATTCGATCACCCTTGGACCACGCTTGTTCCATTTCATCATAGCATTCCGGAGATGGTGAAGGGGGTTGGGAAGATGACTGTTCTACTTTCCGTTTCTTGGTTATTAATGAAGGCCTGGTAAAATTAGTGGATTGTGCATACTCGTCGACTGGGATTGTCATATCGGTGTTCATAATGTGTGCTGAGTCAGTTAGTTCCTCGTTTGACTCCTGTAAGTTTGAAGTTACTTCCAAAACTTCTGAGGTAGATGCTTCCGTGGATGGGTGCGGTCTTTTATTTGTTGGAAGATCTGCAGGTGGCATGGGAAAGTGTTCATTGAGCGGCTGGACACATTTTGAAGCAATATGTCCTAGTTGCTTACATTTGAAACATTTTACTTTTTCATCGGATACAAATACCCTATAATCCTCGTCGTCATATGTTATTAGGATAGATGGCGGTAAATCTAGCTCTGTATCTTGGTCATTGGCTATGAAAATTTGTCTACGGAAACTGTATACATGATTGTATTCTTCCACCCCTATTCCTGCACCAATAAAGGATAGAGGTGATACCAATTGCAAATTAATGTTTTTCAGTTCGTTTTCAATTACTCGGTGGGGTATACATGGTGATACATTTGATAAAATTATGCGTTTGGCCGGTAATATCAATTTTCTAGCAGGTACGAAAACATTGTTAATGTTTACTCCCCCATGGTCATCTATGAAATCGTGAACCAATTCCTTTGATGCTAAGTATATGCAAATACGGTTATTGCTCATTCTTGAGGCAAATAATATATTTTTTGCCCCTATGACGTTGCCGGTAGCTAAAACATAGTCTTTGACTGAGAAACCATCAATAGATCAAAATATTATGGCTTGCTCTTTTTTTGGAAATGTAGGAGCTGATACTACGTTTGAAAACGATCTTATTGTACTGTTCATATTTAATTGTTCTTGAGATGCCGTATTAGTTATGGAGGTTGCACCCCTGTGGTCAGAAGTGGTGGGTAAAGGATTTTGCGCTAACATTGTAATAATGGAAAAAAACAAATACGCAGTGGGAACCGCAAAAGAAACTGACATCACGTAGGTGTTTAGGGGACTAAGGTGATGGAAAGGTTAAATATGTGACACTTATCACGATAACAAACGTAAATATAAAATTTACCTTGAATAAATTTGCTGTTTGGGTTTAACCGATATATGTATGTAAATTTAACACTGTGAATTAGCGTCTTTTCGCACAAGGAAGAAAAAAAGGAAGGATGACACCTTCCCCTTCTCCTATAGAAACCTAGATAACACCGTTACTTGTTTTTTTTTCACCGCACCGCGTAAAACAAACGGAAGTCAAGAGAAACAAACGGAAGTCAAGAGAAACAAACGGAAGTCAAGAGAAACATACTCTGAACCGTATATTCGTGTACCTGACATACACAATTGTGTGTACTATACAGTGAGTTTTTTTTAAATGCGAACATAGGATTTTGCATGCAATGTAATTTCCCTATGATCGATTAAAAAAAAACACATCAATCTATGAGGTGTGCGCGGTTCACATTCCCACCAGCAAAACGCACAACTTGCGTGACTACGAACAGCAACGGTTTCTAGTCTTCATGATGAATACCACTAAGATTGTTTCTAAAGAAGCCATGTGAGACCATGTTATAACAACTTTAGGATACAATAATTTGACCTTACAATTTGATCTATTCACTACATAAATGAAGAAAATAAATAACGAAAACAACTACAATAAATGTTGGAAGTGTCCTCCTTGACATTATAAGCAATAACGTAAGAGATTTCGAAATTAAATTGAAGAAGTGAAGAACGAATAGGCGAACGCTGTTAACATACTAAACATAACCTCACTCTTGTTAAAAACGGACCAACGGAAACGTAAATGTTCAACTTCAACCAACTTTTCCGTCGTAAACGGACGACGTACGATTTAAAAATTTGCTGTCTTCTGATTGGCTAACGGACAAACGGAAACGTATGAACGGAGAGCTATGAACTTACCTTAAGGGGTTGGCATGGCAGCATTCAGTCTGACTGGTAGTCTTCCGCGCTCAAGGGTCATGTAAACAAATATCGCGACTGCTTAACCGCGATCCTCGCCAATTAATTAAGTAACTCACCGGGGGGATCTCCGAACACTCCGGTTGGCGATTGGGGTTGAATGCGTCGTTGAGGATGACTTCCTGAAGGGTTAAAATGGAGCTCATACCTATTTGGGAAAGGGTTACGCCGCGCGCACGTGTATTATTTAGGATACACATCCCGCCTTGGCCCTCTGACTAGGGCCCTCGGCCAATAGATCAGTAACGTCAATCTATGTCACTCATTGCCCTACCTGTGAACGACACCCAGGTCGAGCTCACCCCCGAACTGTTTGTGTTAACAATGAGGCCTTTATGTTTCATATTGGGTCGACACCATGATTTACTCGAGCGAGTAGATCACTCAGGGGACCGCGTCATAGGCACATGCACACAATGCACTCTAAAAGCCTAGGAATATATCCGGATATCTGCCAAGGGTTTTACCATAGCCCAACAACAATGCACGGCCAGCACGATGGCCTGCACAATACACTCACCACCTACACGTGGGAGACACTCACCACCTACGCGTGGGAGACACACATTAAAGGGCTATTACACCAAACTCACTAATACGTCCGATGCTCTACTTAGCATCCCTTATACGATCGTGACCAGAGCGTGTACGCAACTTAACTGCCTTAACACGATCCCCTAAGACCCTTGCACCCATATGTGCAGAATGCGCATACTTGAACAGTCAGCTTGCCACATTTATCAAATAGGGGTTGCGTTGACATTTTACTTTTTCGTTATTAAGGACTACCCTAAAAAAATATGGTTCTTACAATTTATATGTTTGCATTAAAAAAAAAGTCACTGTATAAAAGTAAATTTTTACCAGATTGCCACATTTTTTCTAATACAAATAATTGTAACGTAAATTTAATTACGTGCTTTATTTATTTACAATTACTTAACAATAAAACAATCTAGAACTGGATTAATTTATATCATCACAACGAAAGGAATTAATTTCTACCAACCACCATAGCCCTCCTCCTCGACCTCTTATCGTGATTGGGTATATTCCCTTATACCTCAAGAACGAATTGTCGGAAGAGAGTATTCACAAAGGGCGATTGAGAGGTTTGCAAGAAATATATGTATATTGGTGATGTCAAAATAAAAGCTATTTCGGTAAACAAAATACGCTTTATCTGCACAAGCGAGTGCACAAAGTTGTGCGCAATGTATACTTTTCCACTTAGGTAGCTTACATGTTGAAACCTATTTAACAAAAAAATCGCAGCCTCCGAGTCCCAGTGCTGAGCTCTCAAGCCCTCAAACGGGCGGACGAAGGGGTAAATGGAATTTACACATACAGGGTGATTCCTATAGTACCTGCCACCGTTTGGGAGCGTGTAGGTGGTGCGTAGGGGAGTATTTTGATATAGGACACTTGGGGTCGGAAATCTAAAATAAGGGTGCCAGAGCCAAATTTACCTTCTGGAATTTCGCGCCTGTAGGTAGGCAACCCAACCGGCCGGCGGTGCACACGGAGCGATCTCAGGCGGCGATGTGTGGCTGACACTTGATCAGAATTTTGTTTAAACCCACGAAATCCCGTCTGCAACGACGCGTATCAAGTGAATAAACACTATGGCAATAGTATAATAATAGTTGGCTAGATGTAGGAAGTGCATTGAGAACAACGGTGGCCACGTTGAACACTTGTAAACGTTATTGCTTTTGACTGTCGTTTTCCCTCCTTCCCTCCCATGTCGCTTCCTCGCGCTAACTCGCTCTGCATCGCTCCGCGCGAAACGTCGGTCGGTTGGGTTGCCTACATACAGGCGTGAAATTCCAGAAGATAAATTTGGTTCTGGCGCCCTTATTTTAGATTTCCGACCCCAAGTGTCCTATATCAAAATACTCCCCTAGGCACCCCCTATACGCTCCCAAACGGTGGCAGGTACTATAGGAATCACCCTGTATATAAAGAATAAACTATATACTTTTCAGAAAACACGCTTTTTGAAACTGACTTTTGTGCAAAGAAGTACGGCAATATACAACATGCAAGCATTTGGCATTACTTATGTGATGTTCTTTTCAGATTTTGGGATATTCCAAGTCCTTGGTGGCAAGCGAGTACAGTTTTAGTGGGCACCGGCAGTGCCCTGTCTCTATTAATTGCGGTTACGGCCACGGCTGCGTGCTGCATAAAGTATGTTGTTTACTCCACAACGGCGCGAATTGCAGGAATTTTGCAATTTACTTCAGGTAAGTTTCATACTTAATACAATCATCCAAACCATTTAAAGTGCAATTTTCTAGTAAAACAACTTTATGTTGTCGTTAGAAATACTGACGTTCTGAAATTTTAACAGTTAACTACCGATTTTCCGTTTAAGCAATAATTCACTTTAAAGTGTAGTGAGGTTAACGCTCATGGGATACTCTCAGGGAATTAGAAAGCGTATAAATCGTTGATCTGTCTAAAACCCCAGTGTTTCTGTGAGAAAATTAGTTTTATAATTATAAACATGTAGATACTGACACTTGTGGGCAAAAAGTAAAAGCATAAAACTTTGATAAGCACCCAATTAGTTGGAAAAATAAAAAAGTATACAACTGCAACACACATATTTTCTTAACGGTGTACCATTTAAACCGCTGAAACTGCTTCGAAGTGAAGTTTTCATTTTCATTATAGGTCTAATTAGAAATTTTATTCAACCAAGAACTTAATTTTAGATGCCAATTCCTTCTTAATAACCAAGATTATAAGTTACTTTTACTAGAACAGGGTGGCTTAAACTGCTTTGCATTGGCAAAAGTTTACACTGACATCAATAGGTTATTCAATTTTTTTTATAAAACTCAAAATTGACAAGATTTTGTCTTTTATTATGATTTACCTAACAATCAGAAGTGGGATGTATTATATAATGGAAGAAATATTTAATATGTGCAATAAGTTTAATACTTTACAGTAGGTATATGATGATTTTCAACATAAACGCTTCACCTGCTCTTCATACTTTCTCATTTCTAACCTTACCACTCCATTTTGCTTTTAACAACCTCCTCCAAGTTCACATCTCGAATGCTTCCCGTCTTTCTAATTCTATTTTATTTAATGTGCATACCTGACACCTATACAACAAAACACTCCAAACTAACTATTTCACCAGTCTTTTTATCAATTCTAAATCTTACTGTTAAGCAACATTCTCCTTCTCATATACGCTGTCGTGGCCATTCCAATTCTTACCATGATTCATATTTAAAGATTTTTTAGGTAATTTCGTCAGATGGATCAGTATGGAAAAATCTTTTTGCAGGGCGATTTTTGTTATGTTACCTCAATGTAATTTATGTTTTTTTTAATTTGGAACGCAACATTTACCAGGGAGATTGGAGCGCGCGCGCTCGATGGTTCGAACTCGCATATAATCGAAGAGCGGCAGCCTTATACAGTTGCTCTACGCACCGTCCTACTAAATATACAGTGAATTTTTTTAAAATGCGAACATAGGATGTTCGATTTAAAAAAAACACACATCAATCTATTGAGTAGTTCAAATGAGTAGTAGATACAATTGACATCTGTCACATTTTTAAAAATACCGCCGTCCAACTTAATTACGAAATTGGTTAGGTTATTGCTTAGAATGTCAAGGAGGACACTTCGAACATTTTATTGTAATTGTTTTCGGTATTTATTTTCTTATTTTCTTCATTTATGTATTGAATAGATCAAATTAGTAGAATACCAGGTGCACATGATCTACAAATAATTGAAGGTTGATTCACAGTGAGTTGTGGTGTCAGTGCGTGGCCTGTGAGGTCAAGTTATCATAAGTTTAAGAAAAATGTATCCTAAAGTTGCTATGGCCTCACATGGCTTCTTTGAAAAAATCTTACCGAGTGCTCTTCATCATAAAGACTATAGAGTTGCTGTTCGTAGTCACACAATTTGCGCGATTTGGGAATGTGAACCGCGCACACCTCATAGATTGATGTGTTTTTTTTTTAAATCGAACATAGGCAAATTGCATTGCATGCAAACTCCTATGTTCGCATTTAAAAATTCACTGTATAACGGGCGATCAAAAATGTGTCGATTCGCCTTTGGAAGTTCAAGTTAAGTACGATTTCCAGTGTAAACAAAAATTCCAAAGGTGACTCGACAGCAACTCATTTTGATCGCATAGTATAATAACGTAATAGCATTCTGAACGCAGGACGTTTTTAGTCTTTTCCGCTGATGAATTGAATCAGCGTCGAGATCGTGGCTATCATTACTCTCACTCAACGTTCAAGGTATCCTCTTTCACTGGAGAATTAGGCATGTTTATAAATTAATACAACAAAATTAAACAAAAATTAAACAAAATTAAAACAACGAATTGTGCAATTTATTACATTTAATGCATTTTTTCGATCCAAAATGTGAATCCCTTAAACAATTGATTCATTGAGAGATAATTTGGGTTTCTCTATTGCTGCTATCTTGTCTTTAATTGACAGTTTCAAAAAATATTGGCAATTTAAATAGCATATGATTTTCCACAATGTTTGCAAATCAATTTACTGAATATGATACAACGCTACCACCAGAGTGACTGGCGTTGGAAAGAAGTAAAACAGTGGATTAAAACGCACAGACCATACTTATCATGAGTGCTCTACTGTATGTTTATTTGATGACCTTAGACATTACATTAAAGGAGGATATACAAGGATTTCGCATTTAGTACCACACGTATTACCCTTTCTACACCCTGTTATCTTATACGCTTCGCCCTTATTATAACAAGTAAAAATTGTGCTCAACCCTTGTGCAGGTAAAGCGCTTTTTTTTAAACACCCCTACGAAATTTCTTCCATAAATAAGAAAGTTGGCACTGGGCATGCGCAAAACCAAATTTGGAAAATGGCGCTACATTTGTTTTTATTCCAATTGGCTATGTATCAAATTTCATTTAAATCCCTCCCTAAATAAGAAAGTTGGTACTGAGCATGCGCACAACGAAACTTTGAAACTGGCGTTAAATTCGGTTTCATTCCAAGTGGCTATGTATCAAATTTTATTTAAATGCCCAATGGTTATATTTCTTCCAAACGTCCCAATCGCCCTTTGCAGGTACTTTCCTTTGACAATGCACTCTTAAGATATATAAGGAATTATAACCGATCACGACAAGGGATCGAGGAGGAAGACTATGGTTAGTATAAATTAATTCCTTTCGTTGAGACCTTTCATTAGAGTACCAAGAGTAACTAGTTCACACACCCCACCCCCCACCCCCTCAGGCCCCGTCGCTCACTGATCTCGAAATAGAATCGCACGGGAAAGTTATAGTTTGTACAAACCAATTTATTTCGATGATACCACTAAAGGCATGTGTATGCAAAATACCATGAAGAATAAAACTAGTTCCACTCCCCCTCCCCCCCCCCCCCCCCATTCCCATTCCTACCCGCACTTTGATAAGAGGACAGAAAGAAGGGCAGGAGTTTGTAGAAACCTGTTCCTTTCGTTGACACAATGAGAGATAAAATTAATTTTTAACCCCCTCTCCCCCCCCTCTGGCCCCGTCGCTCACTGTTCTCAAAAAGAGTCGCACGGGAAAGTTATAGTTTGTACAAACCAATTTATTTCGGTGAGACCTTTCATAAATTCTTTTACATTGGCATTGTCATGAATGTAGAATATGCAGAAAAAAGACAAACTAACGATTAGCGCTTGTCCGGTCGTTAGTACTTTCAACGAGGGTAGGAAGTCATCACTACACAAGGGGGAGTCGATTTCTCGGAAACGGCCGGTCATGCTCATGGAAGTTATAAAGCACTAAGAGGCACTAACGATGTAATCATGTACTGTGGTTAGTTCTTTTAATGACCGTGCTAACTTCACGGCCCTGGGGCTCGTATGCTAATCTGGTATACACGTGGTCAAGATTGACAAAAGCGCATTTTTCTCGCACAGAATAATAGTAATAACTGGGGAAGGAAGTGACTAATCAACAAAAATCTTTTACCGTTCTCATCTCGGGGCTGTGCTACGCCGTATAAGAAAGAAATCACAACGAAAAAGCTTAAACTGGAGGATTAGTAGTGATACAGACGGACAGACCGACAAACAGACAAAGTACGGACAATAACATTCACTTTCATTTTGGAAAATGAGCTAAAAATAAATACTCGTGCGATTCCATTATCAAGTTTCGGTGAATAATAACAAGTTAAAAAGTAATCGTAAACGATTTACATAAAGCGCATTTCCACTTGCATTCATTTCCCATTTGTAAGATGCAACTTCTGTTAAAATCGTAAAAATTCGGCCACAAATATGAAAGATAGCGTTGCACATGGGCAATCCATTTTTGACGTGCTACTTCAATTTCAGTTTATGAGAAGAATTTCATATCAATGCTTTTCTAAATAAGAAAGTTGGAAATGCGCATGCGCAAACCTAAATTTTGAAACTAATGTTAGATTTTCCTTTGTTCCAAGCGCCTAAGTATCAAATTTCACTCAAATGCTTCCATAGATAAAAAAGTTGGCACTGCGCATGCGCAAAATAAAATTTTGAAACTGGCGTTTGACTTCCCTTTATCCCAAGTGCCTATGTATCAAATTTCGTTTAAATTCTTCCATAAATAAAAAAGTTGGCACTGCGCATGCGCAAAACCAAATTTTGAAACTGGCGTTTGATTTTCTTTTATCCCAAGTGCCTATGTATCAAATTTCGTTTAAATTCTTCCATAAATAAAAAAGTTGGCACTGCGCATGCGCAAAACCAAATTTTGAAATTGCGTTTGATTTTCCTTTATCCCAAGTGCCTATGTATCAAATTTCGTTTAAATTCTTCCATAAATAAAAAAGTTGGCACTGCGCATGCGCAAAACCAAATTTTGAAATTGGCGTTTGATTTTCCTTTATTCCAAGTGCCTATGTATCAAATTTCATTCAAATACTTTTATAAGTAAAAAAGTTTTCAATTCGGTTTATAAATGGTCGAGATGCGAAAAGGGCACTGTGAATTTTGAATCGATTCGATTCAACTTTTGGCATTGCGTATTATATGGCTAAAGCTATGCCCATATTGAATTTCATGCAATTCAGTTCATAACTAACGGAGATGTAAAAGCGATCGAACATTTCTAAACAAAGTTATCGTTCACACGGACAGATAGATGGACAGACAGACAAAGGAACAGACGGACAGACCAACCGGCAGGCGACAGATAGCAATGCAAAATTATAAACGA